TTTGCATTATGCCCTGAGGTATATTAAAAATCAAGAACAGGCATACTCAATTAAGTTGGTGACTATATGTAGCTCATAATGAGCAATCGAATACTAAACAAAACTCATTTTGCTGTCTGTAAGATTTTCCTAAAGAAATCGCAAAAGCGTTGTACATGCAAACTAGTGTTTTCCAGCATTTTTCGAACAAAGAGTCTAGTAAAAATTTTCTTTAAGTTGCCAAATGTGGTTGAGTCATTTAATAGTACGATATTTTAAAAAAATTTTAAGAAAAAAATGATCTGTCAAAACTGCATATGACCTGCAATTTGTATAATAATTAAAACTGTGGAGCATGGCAAATCTACACGATAGTATCATATGCACTTGTTTTTTTCATATATTGCGTGTTTACTTTGAAATCTCGATAGAAGCTCGTTGAAACCACAAAGTGATCTCATTCTGCAGGCTCCGTATTCGCTCAGCTGACTGACATGTCAACGTTAACTTACCAAAACTAAGAGGTTTGGCCGTTCACTACCACTGAACACATTATCTTAGTGTATGACTTTCTGCGTATTCATAGTCTGTTTTATGCAAAAAAGTTCGGCGGCTTGTGGGAGACATTCACTGAGTATGTGCGTGTGAGTTTACATGGCAAAGGTAGGGTGTATAACCCCAGCTAACTTGAGTTAGACTGTGAACCGTTTCATCGGTTGTTAGAGTGGGCTTTATGAGTGGGGCAACACGCGGGACAGAGAGCGAGAAAACACAGAACATGGCTCATTTATGCCGAAAGTCTTATTATACGCTGTCGTATGAGAAAGAAAGTGAGCACGGTACCCAGAAAATAAAGAAGAGCCAGTTTTCAAAAATAACGGACTTTGAATGAAGCGCCGCTAGTGAGATTACATTTAGTCAGGAATGGAAGAAAATTTCAAACAATGGGAACAGCGAATAATAAGTGATGTTTACAGTCACACTGAATTTTAGGGTATATTTTTTTAGTTGCCACCTATCGTTGCCCTATCGTTGCCGCTTACACATGTTTTTTTTCAGAGACGGAGAGACGCACACATCATTCAAAATTAATGCGAGTCTCCGAATAGTCAGTTTTAAGCCTTTATCACGCAAACGTTCACCTAATCGTCCTTTATTTTTAATTTGTCTAAATACGGTCACATTTTCTGCTAGCATTGACCCGATCTTACGTCGATCCATGTGCCCACGATCCAAAGCTATTAAAATCTAGTGCAAATGCCAGAGATCAGGTTATTCAATCTGGACGTAATAGTATGCAAAACAAGATGGTCAGTTGGCAACCGAAGTGGCAACATGTTGAAAAGGGTTAGGGTATTGAGAATGCTGGATTACCTACATTAAGCTTGACTGCATCCAACTTTAACAATGTGAGCAGCCTTAACTGCTGGGGTCTCTGACCAGATATCCACTCAACCGAATATTTGTGCTAAGGCTTGTAATCATTAATTTTACTCCGCCCCATAAATTCATTCTTCAGTCAAGCCTCTTCTCTACATTCAAGAACCGCCCGTTTCATACCAAAGGACGCATGCACGCGCTGGTTAGGGCCGCAGACGCAAAGAAACCTAATTAACCTCTAACCTACGGACTGGTTATCAATGCTTGCGCATATTACATCCTGCGCAATCCTTCCCACACATGCGCATTGGTCGTTGGTTTTCTAATGACCAGTAAATTATGATTTCTTCCCTTACTGGTGTCAGCTCACATATTGTGATGTTATTCGTTATACGACCAACCCCATAGACATGTCAGTAAAAACTCTAAAGTAACTACTGACGCGTTGCTCACAAAATGTCCAGTTTCTGTGTAATGGCCAACTATGCAGGCCGGTAAATGGCGTGGCAATGAGCTCACCGCTTGGACCGTTCCTTGCACATGTTTTTATGGGCAAAGTCGAGAAGACAAGATTAAAAGGTGCCATTAGTGACTTCGTCTTCTGCGGTCGGTACGGGGATGACATCTTCTGTTTGACGATGACCTTGTCCAAAAGTTCGACAGTGCGCACCTCTCGCTGATGTTCACTGCCGAGTCCGAGGCAGATAACGAAATTGCCTTTTTTCGATGTCCCTCCGCACAGGCAGAACGATGGGTCTAACCAGGGCAGGGTGTTTCGAAAAGAAACCTGGCCGGGAAAATACGCTAATTTCCACAGTTTTGTCCCTCTCAACATCAAACGAAATCTAGTCTAGGGATTGGCAGCAAGAGTGAGGAACTTCTGCTTACCTGAAGCTATTGAAGCAGTGCTACAGCAACTGTCTGACACACTTCGAGAGAAAGGATACCCAGATAGATTTATCCTCCGAAATATTGGGGAACGTGCCGCAAAGACCACTGTTGCGACTGAGGAAAAGTAAGAGGTATTCATAAGATTGCCTCTTGCAGGAGATGTTGAGAGCGAACTAGTCGGACGGCGTTTAACTACAGCTATCCCGAGAGCATTCCCTGCGGCGAATTTACGCGCATATTTCATAAACCCTCCTCTCCTACGTTCAGGAGATAAAGACAGACTACCGTTGGTGGCCACATCAATATGCCTCTACTCATTCACTTGCTCCTGCGGAGCGAAATACACTGGCGGTACATCGAGACGCATGGTAAAGAGAGTACGTGAACATATGCCCGCCTGGCTAGACAGAGGTGAGACCCGATCGATGTGGAGTTTTATTCTCGCACATTTAATCAATACAGATCACCAAGTCGACGCCAAGAAAGCAATTTAGGTTGTCTGTCGGACACCAACAAGCTTCTCTAAAGGCCTACGCCAGTGGATACTAGAAACGGCCGAGGCGGTGGCTATACGGCCAGCGAATCCGGTGTTATGCTGTCTGAAAACCCTGACTCAAGCGCTCTCTCTGCAGTGGCCAACGCCAACCCATTACTGATGACGACATACCGCCTCAAATTCCTAATTACAGTGATTGGTACTCCGTATACTCAATCCGAGAGTATCACCCAAAGACTCTCACCCCCATCCTCTAGCTATAAGGGCCAAAACCCGCCGATCTTGTCATGAGGGCGTGTGGGGAAGATGAGTGTTAATGACTTAATAGACCTTGAGACACGTATAAGCCCTGTTAATTTTGTACATTTTCATTCCTTCATGTAACTGTATTGGCCAGAAGAAGAAGTACCGAAAACAGTGTTTGCCAAATTGATTTTTCAAGTGCAACATGGGAACATTTGCGGAGCTCTCATAATAGTTCGCCATAATAATTAAGAATCGCAGACAACTGGTTCTGGTCCTCGACCTGTCATAACACTCCTCCAATTAAACGCAATATCAATTGGGCTCAGAATTAGTATTTTGTGTCCAAGATGCCTGCTGACACCGTATGATCTTTATCTTTCCGTTGCGGTCATATTGACCTAAACGCGATCCCGATAGTTGAAACATAAAATAGAGAAACATGAAACCCACTACACAATTTATGTAAAAACACACTCCTTCTCTTTGTGCTACTTTTCGGTTGTTTAATATTTTTCTATCGTATCCGACTCTACTGCGTTTTAGTCAACAATTGCTTGGAATCAGCCCATAAGGCTTGGATTCAGCCTTTGATCCTCGTAGCAACCAATTACTATTCTCTAAACGTTGTGAAGTACCTCTTTGAATTTTCTGCTAATGCCTTGGTACTATTTTAAAAGCCGTCTTTAAAAACTGGAAAATCTGACCAAAGTTAGCACCTGTTTTCTTTTAGATGATTAACATAAAAGGAGAATTTCTTTAGTTAGTCATTCATACACGTCTATTGGACGTGTGAAATTCCAACGTCCACGTAAGGAATCTAAGCTCTTCGTCCGAATGATCGCTTAGGTAAGTAACCCACAGCTGGCGAGAGGATGCTATTACCGTCAACATCAAAATTGGTAGTGCACTTAGAAATTCTTTGAAAATATAAGCGTGCGCCAATATCCTTAAATTATACTGCCTTCTCATCTGATCAAAAACCGATAATCAAAATGACGAAAATTTATCCAGGGATGTTATGGAGGCCAAATTTTTTTCCATTAAGGTGAGTTAATATCTTGCAACGAAATAATGCGCAAAGAGGATATGCTAGACCAAATCTCAAAGAACTCTGTTCTAATCATGCCCAAGGTTTCCTCTATCGTGAGAGTCTGTTTGCCTATCTCACAGTGTTACTTCTCGAAGATCATTCGTCAAAAATATTGGCATACTTAATAACACAATTTGCTTTTCTGGTTGCTTGGTATTTTGGGGAAATAACCGTTTTTACAGTTTTGGACATCTTGTTATTTAAGGCATAAGGCATCTTAACATTCGCGAATATTTTATGCATGGTGATAACAAACATCGCGCCCGAGTGAATTAAAACAAACACGTAACTTTTTTAATTTGCCCTGCGACAGAGTCGCTGTAATCGGAATCGAAAACCTAGCCGTCATGCTTTGCTTATCCCGGTTTTGAATGCTGCGAATCGGTGGTCTTAATATGTGCAAGGAATTTAGGCCACTTATCTCAGTTACCGAAAAAAAGTAGAAAATTTCGGATTGCTCTGAAAATAAGCCAACGAGACCAAGAACAGGTAGTTGGAAACTCCACGAGTGCGCATTTCATTTTCGTGGTATGGACGCTTTGCTATGCATGATAGGAGAAATTATGAGGTTAAAAATGACATTTAAACTATATCGAACTCTTTTTACGAAAGAATACAAGCAATAGCATGTTCAAGTCGAAGAGGTTTCTGTGTGTGGACTGCTACTGGAGGGTATTTAGGAAGGAAATTAAAACAGTAAGTTAGTATCGACAAGACGACAACAAAACATTCTTATAAATGTAGAGGTGTGCGGTTTGAACTAAGTTAATAGTGATGGCAGGGAGAAGATCAGATCAAATGGCATTCTTGCGCAGTGGTATTAGGATGAAAAGGGACAAGTGTCTCGGCTATTGAACTTGATCTGTAAGAGACATAGAACAAAAGCAGGAAACACTGTGCAGCCGCTTGCTCCTATTATTAGCCGGACGCTGTCTCGTTCTCGATTGCCGTTGAGAGCGCCTCAATGTCATCTGAAATAAAGTCGAAGATATTCACATTTTGAGACAAAAGTGCCTTCCTACTAGGAATATATAGGTAGCCATGGTTACATGCATAAAATTCAAATCTTGGTAAACTTATAGGATATTGAATTTAAGCACGAAATTGGGTTCCTTTGGAGTTGGCATGCCTTTTAACATTAGCGAGTGAGTATACGAGGATGTCGAATTCAGTCATCAAGTCCAGGATGCGCGATTTTTAAGTCATATTTTGCACAACGCGTTTGATGTGTCGCTGTTCAAATCACACAGTCAGTAGAGTTAACTAGGACATGTAGAGCATGCATGAAAAAGTTTCCTTGTAAAGGACACTTCAGAAAAAAAGTAAAACTGTAGTTCTTGCTTCAGTATCGCTTCTTCAAACTTAAAGCTTATCTCTCATATAGACATCACCTGCCTGAATACGCAGTCGCAATATCTTCTTGAGTGCGTCATACAATGTGGGTAAATGCAGGCGGTTTTTTAACAGTGCCGCATACCCTACGGCTATGGATTGCGTCAGAGGACACAATGGGATGTGCATCGTCTGTGAAGCTTTAAGTGTACGACATCGGCACGAAAACAACTTTATAAACAACTCCCGGTTTACAAAGAGTTGCATCACGAGTCATAATGAAAAGTTATGGTACTGACTTTATTTACCTCTGAGAATACATAATCGGAAACGTACGAATGTCAAAAATGGGCTTCTGAAACCATTTCATTTGGCAACAATATTTGAATAAACTGACAACAGATAGTCGTGCAAACAAAGCATCATTTTATTTTTGATGACTTTGGGAATCATCAATGGAAAGTGAATGTCATCCTCCCGAATTTTGAAGACTGTCATTTTGAGGAGGGAGATCGTGGGAGAATTATACTATATGGTACGTTTATGGTGAGGAGTGGGCATATGCATTTGTGATGTCGCCTTATCCGTCATATCTGTTGTGAGCTCTGCCCAAATGACATTAGGAAGGGGGAGACTGATGTAGTTTGACAAGCAAAGGAAACTATTTTTGAGTATTCCATTCCATCCCACCGTTAAAAGCTTCTTCATCGGCATAAGACTCTAATGAGATGCTCAAAAGGAAAATTGTGATACAGTTACATGCAATGCTTATGCGCGTTTTCACTATTATCCTAGATATTACTGATTAAAAGATGTTTCTAGGGTGAAGTTAGGAGCTCTGCCTGACAGTTAGTAACAAAATGAGCCTTCACCCGCGAAATATTGCACTTTGAATGAATTAATAGGCACACATATAAACAGCTTCGTAACATAAGGACGTTGTCATTGAAGTTTACAATCGATCCTGCCAGATGCGGCAAAAACTCTTACTCAATCCTCATTAAAAAGACTTTTGATACAAGTTTAAAAAAGGGAAATTGGTATAAACGCCGTTGAAGGGCAGTCAGGGGAACCTAAAAGGTGCCTACTTTGTTGGACACGCCATAAACGAAGAGCACAATATCAAGTCAATTCGTTTTGAAATTAGCATGAGTAGGACCTTAAGGTGGGTGCCCAGGACATGGTTTTTAAGACCGATTTTGAATATTCCTACATATTTAATTCAAGGACCATTGCACAGTGGCCGTTTAATGCCCACCCTACATATAAGTAGTAAGCTTTCAAAGAAAACGTTTATACTGTTTTCTCAATAAAGATAGTCCTCCTACTGCTCAACGCCGTCTCTTTAGTCGGTTTCTCATCCCTCTCTTTATTGATTTCTGGCAGAAGGTTTCAAAATCAATATCAGACCTATAAACAGCTTAGGGACTCTCTAAATAGTCAAACACCTCTCATTTGCGCCATGCTATAGCTGAAACTTCGCGAAAATTGTACTATAGCTTACAGCTAGTTCCCATGTTTTGAGCGAGGCAAGGTCCGCGTCAGAGTAACTTATGTTAAACGTAGGGCTCTAAAAATAATTTAATCTGTTTGGGAAGCAAAAAAACATTCAGTATGAACGGCAAAGCATAGCGGTAGAATCGTGCTCTCTCCATTGAACATTCCTTTGTGACCTCCGCATCTTGGCAATTTACGCAAGGCTAAACTGCGTGCAAAAATCAAATGTACTTTTCCGCAAAGGCTGTGCTCTAGTGAGTCACCCCCTACCGCAGGATAGCGTGCAAGGCAAGATCAAAAAGCATGGTTTGAAAGCCCTTGGGATAACCGACAAGGTTGTAAGTTTTATTGTAGAGGAAGCGTGCGACAAGGGCTTTTTTCGAAGCAGCGTTCAATCAGTCTAAAGACATTTCCGCGCATACACGAACATAAGCTAATTGCGCGACGAGGCGACGCAATAACACAAGCGGCAGTTCACACCTACGAAACGGGTCATTAGTTTAACTTCGCAGCCACCAAAAGAGTCGCCTACACCGGAATCAAAACGGTCAGAGAATAGATTGAAGCCTGGGCCTCGGATGAGAACTCCGTCAATCGATTTATCGATTTGGCGCCGGCGTACACATTTCTGTACAGTCACCCCCAGTCTTGCGCCGTCGGTCGATGATTGGCTACCACGCCCCATAACTGCCGCTTTTTTGTGCTACTACTATTTCTGACGATGGACCCTTGCACGATTTCGAAAGCTCAAAACAATAATCGAAATGTTCCAGTGCTCGACCCGCGTGTCTTCTTCACTTACGCGTACACCTGGAACTTGGACACTCGCTTTCGTTCCGCCAATGTATAAGAGTAAGCCTTCCAATCCGAAAGATGAATTACGCTGGCGCGGATTTTTACTGACAAGCCTAAGAGTTGTTTACGATATAAAATAAACTTTTTAGATCACACAATCAGTGCCAAGAACATCTTCGCCTCCGATGAAATTGTCCATGCATCAGAGTCTCCACTTGTATCAAAATCCTATACCAAACTCACTATCCCCTTTGTATGGCCTCCTAGCGTCATCGGTTCTTAACCTGCCTGGTTCCTAAGTTCGTCCGTTCCACCATTTACTGAAAAGGCGTGGTTCGTTCTCTGGGCAGTAGAGTAAATTAGATGTCCAGGGGGTTTTATTTGCCGCCATCTTGGCTCTCAAGCTCAGTCTCCAGTGCGGTTTGACTTGATTCCGACCCTGTGCTGAAACTGGTTCCAGGTGACTTGTGCATTTTACAGGCAAGAGAAACGATCGTACTAAGAACCGCGAAATTCCTCTTCTTAATCCCATTTTTGAACAGTCATCCCCCCACTTCTACTGATCAAATGACTCATCATTTAGACTTATCACTGACTCTCCACCGATCTCAAAACATGCGGGAATTCGGAACTAATTAGCCGGATGACATAACATTCTGCGACTATATAGATCTGGGTCAACGAGGTCATCTCCATAGACTTTCTTAATATTGTGCAAACGATCGCGTGATGTGAAATAACCCCGTAAACACCATCTATATCAGCGAAACAAATTCCTGCAACTGAACAGCTGTCCAGCTTACCAAACGGGACAACAATAGGAAAATATTATCAAGAACGTGGGAGACGGCGACCTAAGAACCGACTAGTACGGGGATCGTCGTAAGTTGCACATGCCCTTTTCAAGTATTAGCATAACGTCTGGATTGGAAAATATGTCCCCCTTTTAAAGGTACAATTTTTGAGAAGTCGGCAAGATCATATTTCGTGGCCGTACCCGCTGGAGTTAGGGATTAGGGGGATAGGGTTTGGGGCTGGAGATTTGGGGTTAGGCGGGGGCTTGTCTACTGCAGGTACGGCTACGAAATAAGATCCGACCGAGAAATCTCAGGTTTTGCTACTAGGCAACCTAGAACTCCTGTAGTTATGCGTATTCGCAATGCTCGGGGTCAGGATTCCCAACAAGCGCACTTGCAATCTACTCTTCAGCTGGAGAGTAGAAATGATCGTGCCAGGTGTATAAGACGGCGCCTGAGTGTGCTTACCTCGTTTAACAAACTTTGAAAGCGAGTTAGTGTAAGAAATGCGATACAGCTCAAGACCGGAAGACTGGAACGGGACTGCATCACTCGATGTGTGTATCAGCGGATTTGGGTAAACTAATTACATGCAGAAGGCTTTCACTGAGGATCGGAGCATCGCATTTGGTATTGTTGCTTGCGATGAACCCTTATAGCTGCGCCTTTATTCACTCGGTATTATCCCATCCATGTGCCAAGGACTTATACTTTTTCAACCACCATTTGAAATATACGACATTGACATTAACGTCTTCCAACATCAGAAACTACCTTACACCAAACATGAGCTAATTTGAATTTGATTGTGAATGACAGAAGAGAAACTTTGTACCATCGAGTTCACGCGTGCATCCATCGACGAAGCGATCTCGACCAGCCTTGTCAGCCCATGTCTCCCCAAAAGCTCTTTGTACAATAAGGTGAGGTTTATTCCATTTCGACGTCGTGTTACTCATGGCTTATTTCTTTCACAGAGCCTCAGATCACAACAGTTCTTCGCGCGCAATAAACGCTGATAACATAAAAAAATATATCCCGCTCGCTAACCGAGTACTTATTCCGACGGTCCTTCCAACCCCCTCTCCAACCCCTCTCTTCTGAACATGTACCCCAATCGATACAATTGACCTCGCAGCTAGATCATGGGCAGCTGTGTGCCCTTAATAGGGAGGAGGACGATTCCAGTAACTGTTGGGAAGCGTATTCTACTTGAATAAGATAGTCTAGTAAAAAAACATATTTTTTCTACTTGCAGTAGATGAACATGCTTATGGAATCGCAACTGAAATACCGAAATGCGTTTTCGTTTCGAAAGGATTAATTAAGTGGCGTCTTAAAACTGGTCAGCCTGCAACATAATTCTATAATATTTCAGTTACCACAGGATGCCCGCTTTCGAATGAACTTCCTTCTGGTTACAAGCAAAAGCAACACTGTAAAATATGACTACTTAAGTAGCATGATTTTTTCTCGTTTGTTTTCGATGCCCCTAAATGTCCGGTTATATTTCATGACAAACATACAAAAATATCCATTTTTGCTCATTTTGTAGACGAGTATGTCTTCTTGTAATCTTATATAAGAAGGAAGGGCATAATTTGGTTTTCAAAAATTTTTCCAATTTCCGAATAATTTTGAACCCGCACTACCGTTACATTCGGATTCAGGGTTTCCAAACTACAAGCCGCATATTTTCCGCGTACGGAAAATGCACATTTATCTACGGTTATTAACGCGGACTGTATTGAGTTCATAAAATTTAGCAGTGGATATGATCTATATTGTTAACTTTACCAGCCGCGTTGGTAAGTGCAGAGATAAGACAATTTGTGAACAGCCATTTCACGGTTTTTAAAGGTCCCACAATTTAAAACTATATTAAAGCTGAATTATTTCCCTCCTTCGAGTATAAAATTAGAAGAAAATGTAATTCTCTACCGAATGAGCAAAATAATGAAATTTTTTATGGATGTTCTCCATGAAATGGACATTTAGGAGCACCGAAAATCAATAAGAAAAATTCACGCTAAATTCGTAGTCATTTTTTCCAGTGTAGAATTTGCATGCAGCCGGAAGGTAGTTCTTTCGAAAGCCGGAATCCTGTGGTACCTGAGATATTATACGATTATGTTACAGGCTGACCAGTTTTACAAGGCTAGTTAACTAATCTTTTCGAAACGAAAACGCATTTCGGAATTTCAGTTGCCATTTCATGCATTAGCCCACCTACTGTACGTGTGCTATTGTAACGCTCTCTCTTATTAAACACAACCCACATTTTTTCCTGCTTTCTATTACACTTTCCACATATGCAACGCTTGTGAACTGGGTACGTCCCTGCCCTGAACGGTGTGGATTTCCGAATGATGCTTATTCGTGAGTTTATTCACTGCCCTTCGAATTCACGTCCTTTGGGTGCATCATTTAGCCTTTCCAGAACTGATGCAAAGGAGCTGTCTGTTTGTTTTGGTGAGGAAAGTAAGCTATTCAGCACAGGGTATTCTTCAGGAGAGGGAACGTCTGTGAGTTGGGTTATTAACGTCACCGCTAATATTCCCTAACAGCGTCGATCTGACTTCACCTCTAAGTTCTCTCTAAAGGGCATTGTGATGTATGTATGGATATCTTTGAAATCTCTGCTACACAAACCAACGTAATCACCCACTTAGATGCTGCAGATCAGTCACATACGTCGATAAAATTCATGTTTGTGGTGGACACGGCAAGTTCACTGTTTTACTTCTATGCCCTCCTGAACGAAGGATCTGACGCTGGAGCTTAAGAAAGCGCTTGTTGCAAGAAATGCTGGTCTCGACAACATACGAACCATATCAGCTTCGAACAATCCAAGAGAAAGCCAGTTTAGTCCATTTTCCGATGCAATGGAATATAAACTTTTCCGTTGGGAATTTATAAAGGATTCGGGATCCGCCTTGTGGAACAGGGATACTGACACATTTATTGTAAAGAACATTATATACGCTGACAGCAAGAAAGAAAACCTTATTCCTAAATGTTTTCGTTGAAGAAGACCAGACGAGTGAGTTTCCTAGCAAACGCCTTGAACAAGCTGTTTAACAGATCCTCCTAATAGTAATGGTTCAAGGATTATCTTCAACCGTTTTCAGTCCGAATATACACGGATATGATGGGGATATGTTGCCTGATCGAACCGCCTCTATTTGCATCAATCCCATCGAGAAAGCCACATAGTTCTTATGATCCGGCGTCACTTTGAATGAATGCAAGAACAATTCCCGAAATTGGCGATAAGAAGCGCAATTTGGCCTGTGCGTGCGCCTTCTCGCAAATATTGTCAATTCTGTGTGTCATTTGGGTTCAAACGATGCCTTCAATGTGACTAACAAGGTCCCACCGACCTATCCTAATCCGTCCAGACAGCACATTCTCTAAGAGCAGAAGCGGTCACAATCGGGTTACGCGAGTCCGTCATGCGAACACAGAAAACGTTTGTGTAGTCCTCGCATTTACCACAGCCAAGGACCAATTAATCAACAAACTTCGTGCATCTTTCTCCGCGCTAGCATGGCTCTTCTTAACCCTTACCCCGCTCACGCTAACCGTGATCGCTTTAAATAGACAGATACTCATTGAATCCCCCCATGTTTCGCACATTCCATTTGCGTGAAAAGATTGACTTTACTTGATTTATCATCTTACCCACGCAATTGCCTGATGAAAACATATCGTAAAGCAGACGTCCGCTGTTCGAATAGACTATTCGTTACTTCCATGGGAGGTATAACAGTTTTAAAAGTAATGTTATCTAAAGTAGCACTGAAGAATACATAAAGAAAGTGTGGATTAAGTCGGAGGGCGTTGCCCCAAATGATATTTATTCGGATTTATGAAAGAACTTCTTCTATAAATAGCCAACACATAGCGGGCCCTTAAACTTTTCGCGATCACTACGTTTTCCACTCAGAAGTCCAACACTAGCTAAGTGAAATTTATGTCTAAAGAAACTTACAAAAGTCCAATCAGTGATTTGGGATTTTAGGTAAGATTAAAAATACAGGATATCAAATGCGAGGACGAAGTCAGGAGTCCCAATAAAATTGGTTTTTTCTGCCTCGGGGAATTTTCGCCGAGTCCAGCAATTTGTCCGACAAATACTATGTGATTTGAAAATACTGAAAAATTTATCAACTCGCTTTCAAAAATTAAAAGTAACTGCCACTTCTGCCATGTTTTTTAGAATATATGAATACTTGGCAAGGGACGTAAACTTCTTTATAATTCTTTTATACTTCTTCTGAAGTATACCTCTAAGCACATAAATCTAATAACAAAATCACAAAGTAAAAAATGAGCTTAATTTTTATAAATGATTTCAAATGCGGTCATAATGCTTCTAAAACAGTCGCCATTATTAACAGAGCACGACATATTTAAGCGTCTGTTGTGTTTCTGAAATCGGCTTGTACTTTCTAAACAAGTCAACGAACAAGAGGATAATACTAGTTGTCTGCACATTTGAAGCCTTGATAACTTTATAGATATTTGGTCGAAATATCAGGATAAAGTAGTACAGCTTCACCGTTCTGTAATGCACGGTTAACAGAGCAAACACTTCGCTGGTGGTTTGTCGAACTTCTACGACAAGCTAGCAAAGACGTAAGCTTTCGTAAAATTCACTGTGCATTTTACCAGCGATGCGAATATTTTCATGCATATGGAGATAACGGCCCTCGGTAATGTATGTAAATTATTCGTAACTTTATAATTCCGGTGAACATGCTCTCTCCGGTATTGTTAATTAAGTATTTAAATGTTTTTTGAACTCGAAAACCACATATGTGTGGTTTGCATATTAATTAGCATGCAGAATAATCAAAAGATTTTTTTGATCACTGCAGGATGCCGGTATTCGGACAGATGTTTTTTATCGGTCGCCTGCTTCAACAACATTCGGTAAAAATTGGCCATTGAATTATTGTGAATTTTTCCTTAGTTTTCTTATACTCTTATATACTCAAATATATTTACACACATAATGCTCTTTTTGCCCAGTTGTTGCCAAATTAATTCCGTTCTAAATTTTATACTTGAAAGCGGAGTATTTTAGACCCTAAAATCTTTTCTACGACATTCTTAAGACTGCAAAATATGCAATCAAACAGCATCGCATCAGCCCAATGATGTTGCTAATAATGGGAACAAAGTGGTCCATGTCTTTTGCAATTTTTTGAGTCCAATATGATATATTTTCAATAGTGCCTAGAAATATACGATTTTCCTTCCACGGAGTATGTACAACTTCTTGTCTGTAAGTTCAAAGCGCAATCATAACCGCACGTCGTGCTCAAACCTAGTCGGAATCGAAAAGTTGAAAGTTCTGCCAAATGCTTTTGCGAATTTGCGATGTGATTTGGATTTAAAAAAAAACAAAAATTAACGATAAAAATACGGTTTACTCAAATAGTCATTTTTTAAATGTAGTTTTTCAGGCTGCCAGGACAAAGTTCTTTCAAAAGTCAGCAGCTTAGCGTGTCCAAAATATCTTAGAGTTTTGCTTTGGGATAACTAAAATCCCAAATCTACTTAAGAAGGCTCTTTGAAAATAAACGTCATCCTAGAGCTTTACTTAACATTTCTTGCGAAAGTGGAATGGAAAACCCCCTGTCCACTCTGTCGATCTTTAGAAACCTCCTTATTTCACTGAATTAAAAAGATTTTTAATGCATTCAAATTCAACTGCGAGAGTGAAAATATTGAACAGACGCGGAATTACTTAATACAAGTTATAGGACACACTGTATCTGTACAGTCATAATGAATTTACGGTAAGACACATTCAAGTTAATAAGTCCGCATTTTGCTGATCGCGCCCAAAATTCTAGCCACAGTTCTTAAACTAGTCAGTTGTGCACCCTTACCTCTAATTCGTACGGCCAGACCATTTGTCTCACGTTGGTGGTTTAAGCACCTTGTCCTGAAACCTAAGCGTTTCTAAAATGTTCTGGACTGGACTCATAATACTCCTCCGGACGCCTGCCTTCCTGAAAGGTCTAATCTTGATATGCTTGTATGTATAATTCCGACATGGAGAAAGGAGGAACAAAGGGCTCAGGTCGAACACAAATGACGCTTTCAATTTACACTCAATTCGCAGCACCAGAAGCATCGCTAAAAACTTTGATCCAAAATTTTAATTGTATTACGATTTAATTAACCCGATTCCGATCTTGTTTGTTTAGGATAAAGTAAGTTCGTTAGGTCACTGTTTTTTGGAGATTTAGAGTACTGAGGCAGGTCTTAAGAGCGTAACTGTCCGATGAGTCATTAACGGACATTCTGTTGATTTAGCTTACTATTACGGCTGTCCTTCCAAAGCTGGGCGATCAGTTTCCCTTGTTTTGCAACATAGGGGCCAATGTCTGTTGGATTTGTTAAGTAACAAACGCTTCTTCTGACTCAATGCGCCAATTATGCCTCCGTGTGCTCTTAACCTCGGTTTTCTACGAACACATGCAAAGTCAATTTTCTCAGAAACTAACGACCGATGCGGTGAGAGAGGAATAGAAAATCATTCCAGAAGTGGCCGACTTTTGTGTACACATAAACTACGTGCCCAAACGCATTAAATATTGACAAGAATGAGCCGATGCGATTCAAAATTGACAAGCAAATTTGTGTGAGACTGTAGAGCAGATGTGGAGTGAGTCTAAATTTGTACTGCATGGGTAATTTTGATGCCCATACTCCCGTTCGCTGTATACATTCCCCTGAAGAAATCAGCACTGGACTGTGTTCTAATTTATTTCGCGACAGCTATAAAATTTCACCTGTATTTTATGGAAAGGACGAATAAAAAAATTCTATTTTGCGCATTTTGATAGAATAGAATTTTTTATAACAAATCTATTTGCAGGAATGTTATGATACTGAGGAACTGAAGTTGCTTGTTTTCGTGTTTTTAACTGTTGAGGGGAATGTTTTCAACACACTCCAAATCTCTGGCGACAGTGTGTGAGTATCAGGAAGACTGTTTCTGAGATATGCAAAATTATACAATTGTGTCGCAAAAACAAATCATTTCGGAAACCGAACATATTGTTAAAGCATTGGTAAACTTCAAAACCCGCGTACATCTCACACGTTAGCAATTAGAGTAGGCCGCAAATTTTACGACGCAAGTGAAATAATAAAAAAATTACTGTAGACTGTTATTTATGGTATATTATAGACGACTCGGATGGGTAAAGCGTTGGCTGTACGCAAAGCAAAATGGCTGGTCTCAGTAGGCCATCTTACGTAAGTGCTTGAATTGAGCGTTTCTGTCTGGACGAATTTAAAAAGCGACCCTTAATTGGTATTTTACCAAATGTACCATTAAACTTTACGCAAGAGTGGCTCACCTTGACAGAGATTAAACAAGGCTCCCTGTTTTCGCAGAAATTCCAGGCGCATTGTAGCGTGAAGGGAAAACACCTGCATCGTGTTCAGGTAAGAGCTGGAAAAAAAACAAGTTAGCATATAAGATACTGATCACTGTCTTCCTCAAAAGGTAAATCGATCTCCGACAGCGGCCACAATGAACACTGTTTATCTGTCTGTGGGAAATCACTAAAACTTGATCTAATTGATTTCTAGTTAGCTGAGGGTACGTCCCTCTCGTAAAGTTTTATCGTTCTTGTGAGGATACACGTACAAACAGCCAAGTAGTCTGCATATAGAAATTTGAACTAAGACTATTGGGGGAGTACAAACCAAAGTTTTTGCCATGCTACGTCAATGACACCTTTGTAATCGTCGACCGGGATAAAATCAACCACTGTGCAAAACTACTGAACTCATTCATTCCCGAACTACAGTTTACGATGGAAGAGGGAATAGGGGACAAACTTCGATTCTTGGATGTTCTCGTCTGCCGCCAACCAGACGGCAAACGGGCGACGTCAGTCTACAGAAAACCGACGAACGCACTGCAAATGCTCAGTTACAACAGCAAACACCCACTGCAACACAAACGGAGCTGTGTGCGCAAGCTATGTCGACGGGTGGAAATTCATTGCAGCATGCCAGTCGCCAAATCGGACGAGTAAAGGTCCTTCACTTCAGAGCCAACGGCTATCCGCGGGAATTCATTGATCGGAGCTGAAGGCAGCCAAAGAAACCGAATAAAAAGCATAGTCAGTCAAACTCGTGACGGAGCATTCCGTACATTAAAGGGGTCTCCCTCGCGCCACTCGGAATAGGTGTTGCCCACAGGTCTGACTCAACAATCCTCCGGCAATTGACGCGGCCAAAACATCCGATCCCTAAGTCGGCCGTTGTCTACCGACTTCAATTCAACTGCAGAAGGTACAACTACGTTGGGGAAACTGGCTGACGCTGCAAACGCGAATGAACGAGCATAAGTTGGCCGCAAGAAGAATGGACCCAAAGTCGAAGGTAGCAACCCATGCCGCGCCTTCAACTTTGACGCCGTTGGGATTGTGGGGGCGGGGCGGTGATCATACAGCAAGTGCAAGAAGCCTGGATATCCACCAATTGCCCTGTCAACTGCCACATCAATTTGCTTCTCCCATTTGACTTTACGAACCTTCTTAACAGGGAACAGTCACGGCGCGGGACAATTGGGGCCGTCAGTCATCTCCGCGGCCGACGAGGGCGATTCAGGTCACGGTGACATATGAGTCGGATGCAGCCACACAGGAGGCAGTGTCGGATCACGCACTGAACAAAAGGGATTTGTGCGCAGGACTATCTAGTCTCTGAAAATGGGTAGACGAATAAACTACTCGAAACGTCGGATCTCCAACAAACCAATCCCAGTGAACGCCATTTCTTATTTTTATATGCCACCTGGGGATCGCATTTTCACTACTATTGTTTAGACTGAAGTAAATATGCCCCCGCATGTAGTCGGATCACTAGTTATCTATGTGTGCATGTGTGTCGCTTACTTCAGTTACTATTGTCTGCCCCATACGCGCCACGTAGTAGATACGCTGGATCAACACGGGGCCATGTTAGATTTTGGCGGACGCTATCGGACTGTTCACTATAATGAATGCCAACATTTAGGGGTGCGGTGGCAGACCCGGTTGCCGGTAGCCGTCGCGCAGACTGGGACACCTTCCGCCCCCTCCCATTGTTTCTGTTGGTCAAAAGCCGGATCATTAGCTGTGTGGACGAGGGGGTGTGAAGTGGAGCGCCAAGGTGCGGGCTCTACCGTGCCATCCACCCGCACCCTCCCCCGCCTCCGCGCTTCTTGCCTCTGTCTTTACACTGGGTTCAGGTGGGGAACGGGAATGAGGGAGTGCAGTAGATGCCGCGCAAGTCTACTATCACTATAAACTGATTCACGCACAAGTCACCGTCCCTGCTCTCATCTTGCAGTGGAGCGCACGGTGGACATCGTCGAACTCGACGGTCGGACTGCCAGTTATTAATGTGCGAAGAAGAATGTCATCTAGCTAAGTTATTATGCCTCTGGCAGCATTCAAATTTCTCTTTGCAACCAGTCAGACCTCGTCAAACTGGGCATCGAGATTAAAGAGCAAGAGAGACGACAAAAAGACGTGAAAAAATAAATAAAAAAACAAGTCTGTGCGAAATAGGCTCATAGTACCGTATCTGGGCAGTAATGGCCATGTCGATCTCGGCATTCGACCTGTGAAAAATAAAATGATTTCCTGTTAGAAAAGAAGTGGTTTATACTGGATGTCAGACAAGAAATAGATGCGCTTTTGTAATCTTTAGCATGAGCGCGAAACCTGTCATTTGCCTGCACAAATGTCTTAAGACCCTGCTTTCTGCCATAGGATTGCTGCTGATGCGACTGGCATGAAATGTTGGCTGAAATCCTTAGATGGGGACGAAACCCTGTCTCATAATCATCACAATTTTTCGACAGTTCTGTCAGTCCAAAACGCCGATTCTGGAATTTACGTCTTTCCACGGCAGCAGCTGAATGCATGGAAGCCGAAAACTACTACTTAGGTAGATGCGATGATAGTTTTTGTTTTACAAACACCGATTATGATATCCATAAGACCTCGAAATGCAAGTTCAAATAGTAACTTATGTACACATCTATTTATGATCCTGAAGAACTGTGGGACGCGATCCGTATCCTGTATAATAGATTTCTAAGAGCAAAGAAAAATATATTATATTTTGCAAACTGAATAGGTAGAGCATGAAGTTTTTCAACCCCGGCCCTCAGCGCAATGGCAGATCGGATTCATATTTTTTCGGGAATTCAAAACTAAAAAAATGAACTTTCAACAGACGGAAAATTTGAAGAGACGTACGCTGCTGCAGACGTAAAATATAGAAAGACTTTATTGGTCGACACTTTCTTCATTATTGAAAAGGACAGGCTATCGGGTTTTCAAGACTTGCTTAACAGCATCTTCCCCGACATTCAGTTTACAAGAGAAGACGAGGAGACGGAGAATCGACCCTTCCCTGAAGTGCTCGTCACGTGCACACCTTATGGTAAACTCAGCAGTACAGTGTACAGAAAGGTAACCAATGCAACCGAGGTCCTCAACTATCACTCATTGGTGCACAAACGGGGCTGTGTGAGGGCGCTTTTCGACCGGGTAAAAACGCCCTGACCAATTAACAAAGAACGGCTACCAAAATAGTTTCATCAGCCGCTGCGTATGCACGCACCCACGATGGACAAACGGAAGAGAGACACAAACAATTCGGCACTCCCTACCGTACATAAAGAATGTTTCCGAGGCCACAGACCTAGGCGTGAGCATCGCTCATCATCCAGCGGCTACCATACGTAGCAGAATCCTGGGAATAAAGGATCGACTGGACGCAGGTGAGAAGTCGGGCGTAGTCTATCAAATCCCGTGCCACAACTTTCCTTGCCACTACAGAGACCAAAAAGGACGACATCTCAGCTCACAAATACTTCAGCACATACGGGCCGTTCGGAGAGGTGATCCGCTATCTCAAGTCGCACTCACATGCTGGAGGAAGGCCATCAGTTCGACTTCGCCAACACACGGATATTAGCGCGAGCCGGCAACAAGATGGAGCGAGAACTGTTGGAGGAGGCGTGTGTGTCGGACACCAACTCTATCAATAGACACACTGATTTGCCTGCGTGTTATCACGCACTCCGTCCACGCAGCTAGGTGGCCCAGCTCACATCGTCGCGAAGTACAAACGGCGCCACCACGCTGGGGGACCATTGTGGGCCAGGCAGCACAAATAAGACTTAGCCAAGGACGTAGCTTCACCCACATCACATCTCAACGATTTAAATGTTTACACGTTGCTGCACTCCGGCAGTCTCTGATAACGAACTCCAGTTCGAATTCGAAAGTTAAGGTCAATAAAACTATCGTCTGCCTTCGTCTTTTATAAAATATATTCGAATGCGCAAGGGGATCGGACTTCCTTGGGATAAAGGCAAATTAACTGAGTAGCCACGTTTGGCTAGTGCTGTTTTTGCAGGATACCGGAAGCAAACGTGGTCAAAAGTTTGCATCCTGATTTGACTAAATATCTTAACGTTACGCTGCACCCCTCCTTTGCCTACTCCTACTGTTTATGCATCCTGAGTCCTGTCTCATACATAAATGGATCGTGTTTTTGTGTTCGACTCAAATGGATGCGCACAGTCGTGTCTTACGCGTTGCACGGTGACACAGCGGTAACTGCGCGCTGACTTAGAAGTGTCACTGGTGTCCAGTGGAATAAATCATGTTAAGTCGTTCGGATGGTGCCGGCAAAGACATGGGGGACCGGAATAGGCATTTTAGGCTTATTAGCCGTCATCAGCCAGTCATACCCAACCCCAAGTGTGGGTCACTCGAGATTCGAACTCGGGTTCATTGGTCATGGAGGTTGACACTCTATCATTGAGCCACGGGCCCGTTGGCCTGTCGGTTGTAATCGGGAATATAAGTTAGGACCGGCTGATGACAGCCTATAAGCCTGAAATGACCACTCCGACCTCCCTTGTCTTTGTCGGTACCATCTCATCGACATCTACCACTAGTCGCTTTGCGACTGCTTGGGAGAGTTCTAGTATGAGTCCCAAGGCACAACGGAACGAGCGTTTTCCGTAACCTGATCGAGGAGTGCCCATCTGTCATAAATAATGTTCCTTTGTCAGCTGACGGGATAGCTCGACCTCTCCGCGGAGAGAGTGCTTGGCTGCAATAACTCCTCCTCAATGTGTCCTTGATTTAAACTCTCGCCTTAGCAAGATGAGAAATGCCAAAGTATGATTTATTAGCTCGCGAGGTCCGGCGCGTTTGTAGTACGTTCACACTGAGCTGTTTGCTAGTTTACCCACCACGCCCACAACCATCTCCAGTCCTCATGATTACTCGTTCGCTTTTTGAAAGAGCGAGTAAATTAGAAGTAGAAGCGATCGCTCAACCAAGAGTTTTATTCACCTGACGTTTCGGATCTTCACTTGAACCCATTATCTGAGACAGTGACAGAACGAGTGAAGTTTTAGCAGCCCCTCCAGTGCTCCCATTTCTGGCGTCTGTTTGTCGGTCGACGGCCGCGACAACCATGCTAGTCTGAAGACACGTCCAACCGCCAGGCTTGTGGTTTTTGCACTGAATCACGTCTGCGCGAACAAAATGGCGCCGTCGGCCGGCGTCGCCTGCCTACCTTGGGCCCTCGTGATAATGCGCTGCCGGGCTCAGCGCGCGGACCAACCAATCGTATGTCCAGCTCCCAGCCAATCAGACTCGCGTAAACAACACACCGCAACCCATGAGCTCCCGCGGGGTCGTCGTGTTCTGACCCACAAGCAAAATGGAAACTCACGGCAACTGGCTCTCCGTATACAATAAATCATCCTTCACAACTTTCTGACTGTCATTGGAGGGGACGGACTTATTGTTTGTGTGCGGTTCAAGTCGATCTCATTTCATTGATCTCACAGCCGGGCCGTACGCGTTGCACGGAGACACGGTAGTAACTGTGCGCAATCACACCTCAAGTACACTTGAATTAGAAGTGTCACAGTGGAATAAATCACGTTAAGTCAATGGGAAGGTACCGCCAACGACATGAGAAACCGAAATGGCCATTTCAGGTGTAGTAGCCGTCACCAGCCAGTCATACCCAACCCCAAGTGTGGATCACTTGTGATTCAAACTCGGATTCATTGGTCACGGGGTTTGATACTATCATTGAGCCACGGGCCCTTTGTACTGTCGGTTGTGATCGGAAATATCAATTATGACCGCCTGGTGAGGGCTTATAAGCCAGAAATGACTATTCCGGCCTCCCTTTCTTTGTCGGTACCATCTCATCAACATTAACTACTGGTCAGCGTGCGACTGCCCGGGAGGGTTCTAGTATGAGCCTCGAGGCACAATGAAACGAGCATGTTTCGTAAGTTGATCGGGAGCGCCCATCTGTTATAAATCATGTTACGTTTTCAGCTGACGGGATAGCTCGAACTCTCAGTGGACTGATTACGTGGCAGCAATAACTTCTCCTCAATAAGGCCTTCATTTAAACTCTCGCCTTAGCAAGATGAGAAATGCCAAAGTCAGATTTGTTAGCTAGCGAGGTCCGGCGCGAGTGTAGTACGTCTACTCTGAGCTGTATGCCAGGTTACCTACCACGCCCACAACCATCTCCCGCCCTCATGACCTCGTCTACTTTTTTGAAAGAGCAAGTAAATAAGAAGTAGAATTGATCGCTGGAACAAGGGTTTTATTCGCCTGACGTTTCGGATTCCCACGTGACAGAACGAGTGAAGTTGTAGTAGCCCCTCTAGTGCTCCCTTTTCTGCCGTCTGTTTGTCGGTCGACGGCCGCGACAACAATGCTAGCCTGTAAACACGACCAAACGCCAGGCTTGATCTTAAACGCCTCGTGTGGCTGTTGCACTGAATCACGTCCGCGACCACAAAATGGCGCCGTCGGCCGGCGTCGCCTGCCTACCTTGGGCCCTCATGATCATGGCTGCCGGGCTCAGAGCGCGGACCAACCAATCGTATGTCCAGCTTCCAGCCAATCAGACTCGCGTAAACAACACACCGCAACCCGTGAGCTCCCGCGGGGTCGCCTTGCTCTGACCCACAAGCAAACTGCAAACTCACGACAACTCGCTCTGCGTATACAATAAATCATCCTTCACAACTTTCTGACTGTGTCATTAGAGGGGACGGACTTATTGTTTGTGTGCGGTTAAAGTCGATCTCATTTCATTGATCGCCACAAAGTCGACAGTGCGAGCAGCATGTCTCGTCGCAAACAAAATCACATGCGCATCTGGTGAGACGTAGTGGTGACGCATACGAATTAAAATGGGCAAATAATCGTGTCTCACTGGGGCCTATTGTGGCAAGACCTACTTTCCCTGATCCATGAGCTTTGCTCGACTTTCTTGAACTGACTGGAAAAAGCAGGCATTCCAGAAGCGTAGAGAATGCCAAATCGGCTGATTCTTGATGTAGGAGAAGAGGAAAACGCGTTCGCCAGTTCGGATGGGATCTGTAAATTGAAAAATGGCATATGTTAGACTATTCGGAAAAAACCGACTTCATTTTGAAATCAGCCGAAATCAGTCCACAGAGTCTCCGTTCCCATACACCGGTGCCTTTGGACGTAAGGTGTCGATTAAGAGCTGGCCGAGCATGGAGACCCGGAGCATCCTGCTTCGCAATAGAAAATCTGATGTCACTAAATGTCTATTTCGTTCAAAATGCCGTAGGCATTTTTGCGTTTTAAACATGTTTTAGTAAAATGAATGTATGTTGAGCCATCCTGTCGCGAACATTGTCTGAGAGGGAGGGAGAGAAGTGCATTTTATTCTGAAAGTCTAATACCGAAAGCTTCCACACAACCCCCTTCACTCAACAAGTTTTAATTTCAGTATTCTGGCCTATTTGCACGTAAGTCATCGTTCCAGATATAGTAATAAGTGCTACAAATATATCGATTTACGATGAGATATATGTCGAAGCTCCCGGAGCATGGAGTGGAAAGATTTCGCAGCAAAAATGTCGGGGTAGAGAGGATGGCCAACATCCTTCAGAGTTCCATTAGCAAGCTGATTGACAGGTGCGGAGTGCCGTTGTATTAAAATGTCGACTAGCAGGTTTTTGAAATGTCGAATACTCTTTACAAGAGAGGGTAATAAAAAGAGACCTTAGGTTGCTGTTACGCTTAGGTGGTTTTTGATTTACATTTCTGACTGCTAAAAGTAATTGGAATAACATGAAATAGTACAAGAAAACATATGACGGAAGAATGATAAAATCTTCATATGTGAAAGGCCCCATGACTGCTTTCATTCTATTAAAGCTTTTAATTTTCCGAGAAATAGTTGAGCGAACTTGGAGCAATTCTCTTGGGGCAAACAATTTTATTCTGTGTTAGGGGGCGCTCACCGATCGTTCATACGGAACTCACTCGTTCCGTTGTGCCTTATGGACTCTCTCTCGAGCCCAACCAGCAGCCGCACAGCGGCGCATGATATATAGGCAGAATGATATTACCGACAAAGACAAGGGAGACTGGAATGGCCATTTCTGGCTTATTAGCCGTCGTCAGCCAGCCATACCCAAGCCCGAAGTGTGGAACACCCGAGCCTCGAACTCGCGACCTGTTGGTTTAGAAGTCAACGCCTCTACTCACCGGGCCACGAGCCCGGTTCTGCCAACATAACCGAAGGGAGGAGTCCCAGGAATCAGTCATGAAGAAGGAGACAGGATCGTTGGGACAAGAGCTTCATTTGGCTGCCTTTTCGGATTTCTGCTCGAACGCATCCAAAGGGGCCACGTGATAGATGCGCTGGACCCACATCGGATTCTGGCAGGCGGCATCAGATTGCACTCCATAACAAATGCCGGCATTTCGGGGCACGGTTGTCGGCGGTCGTCGTGCACACTGGGACCCCTGTCACCCCCCCCCTTGCAGTGGACCACGGGGTGTGGGGTGGAGCGCCGAGGTGTTGACTCGACCGTGCCATCAATCTGCTCCCTCCTCCTCTTCGGGTTTTCCTGACTCTGCCTTGACCAGGTGTGGAGGAGGAATGCGGTGGATGCTGGGCTAGTCTACCGCCACTATAAACTATCTCACGCACAAGTCAACGTGCCCGCTTCACCGTGCTGTGGAGCACGCGGTGGACATTGCCGAAATCGACGGTCGACTGACTGGCGGGCTGAAAGGTAGGCTGCAATGACCCCTTCTTAATGTGGCCTCTGTGACACTTCCACTCAGTGAGATCCGAGCCGGTGTGTTGGCGCATGTCCTCACCCATCCCCAGTCTTCCTGACTCTGCCATAACATCGGACCCATGTGGGCAGTGGGGATATAGTGCGGTAGATACTACGCAAGTCCAAAACCACCAAAAACGAATCTACGCGCAAGTTACGTTCCTGCTATCACGCTGCTGTGGAACACACTGAAGACATCGTCTGCAACGATGTTCAAACTGCCCTGACTCACACATTACATACGACTGGCCAGAAGTATGAAATGACCGGGAATAAACAGCCTGATTTTCGTCACATGCAGTACGTGTCTTTGCTTTTGGTCGAAGACGCCGTGGCAGTGGGAACTAAGGGTCTGTTGGGAAAATATGCCTAAAATTTATGGTATAAACACCTTTTGGTTGATTTTAACCCGTCCATTCTACGGTTTTCTTAACAAGAAGAAAGCCATATACTTTCCCTTTACTCGGCATTAGTTGTAACTATGCTGCAAATGAAAAAGTTCTTGGCATTATGTTCTGCCTTCTGCGATTATTAAAAATGAGGTTGGATGAGAGCAAAACAGTAGCTTATCTGATTCAGTCGTAAATTCCTCCAGCTAAAGCTTCGAGACCGGTCTATTTCCTCGCCTAATCACTCTCGAAGCCCGAAACCTAACGTGCTTATCGTTTGTTTTCGACCTAATTTCCTTCCGTTCAGCGGAGCGCAAAGCAATTTTTACTAAGTCAGTTGAGAACTGCGTTTTTGTTTCAATGCACTCTAAACACATTTTCCTATTAAACAATCTGTTCCTCACTGGTAACCGAGTTAGGACAGTTAAAAAACCCAAATATGAGTGTGTGTAGTTAGTTTGACTCAGAATTCGATGTGGGCGTAGTTTTTGTCGGGGAAGGAGAGCCTGGCAG